AGGTCACTGTCAAGTAACATCGCCATCATCAAAGCTACTCTCACGTCACAGAAAGTCTGGTGAGTACTTAACCTCAACAGACCAAATAGTGAGAGAAACCCACTACCCTTACCAAGGTGTGACATACGTTGGACCCAGAACAGCACGAGAAACAGCTGCTCTGCATTTGCACCTCAAGCCAAATAAACACCAAAACCTGTTTCAGCTAAACATTTTATGCAACATTGCTGTCCAAGCCGCACAAGCTTGTATGAATGTATGGAATTTGGTCAGCTGTAAAAGTCTGAAACAGCACGTCTGCCATTGTAAATCAATTTAGTGTTTTTTGAGTTATTTTCTTTGATCCACCCGGTCTGCAGAGCACATGCATTTTTCAAAGTAACATGTTGAATCAGCATTAGTAAATTAAGCTAGTAAGCGGAACTTCTGGACTTTATTATGGCCAGTTACTTAAAATGTGCAAACATAGTTATTCTACACAACAAGCGTACTTGAACATACTTCTATGTAACACACGGGAAGTTGACACAGTGTCCATGAGTCTGTCCAGAAGTGACACAACAGGTTTTCTTGGAGCATCATTGTTTAAAGTGACCAAGCTGTATTTGACCAGCGAGGAGTGAGAGTTGGTCACATGTGAAACACAAAGCTATTGGGGCCATGCTAAGCTAAGCTAATGTAACATGGTATACTGTATGTTCCCTGCTAAACATCAGCATGTGCAGCTACAGATTCATTCTTCTTTTTACATTATTAATAAAACATTCAATGACTGGCTGACAGTCAACAGCTTCCATGTTTTCTGTGTTTACCGTAAACTGTGATGATTTACTTCAGTTCCCTCAGAGCGATTATCGGATTGCCTCCTGTATTTGTGGCAGGTCAAAGGAAGCTTCACACTTCCTGTCCATAAAAAGCATTTAGACCAACAGACTATCTTTGAGAAAGAGACCTCAAATTCCAGCATCTTGACCTCAAACCGGGTCAAATGTGGAACTAAACCCACTGTGGCCTAAAGTATGTAATGAATGGGTTTATTGATTCCCTAATCATCTTCATCCACATAATGCAATTTGGTTTCACTTCCTTTTCTTTTGACAATACGCTGTAAATAAAACGAAATGTCCTAGTTTAATACATTAACAGAAAACTACTGCTTTGATAACAAAACAGTGCTGATAAAAAAGAAGAAGGAAGGCAACACATTTTTGTAACATCTCAGTTGTTTGCAGAAGGACATCATTGATGCACATGCTACGAGGTTGGGAGAGCCCACACATCTGGTAAATCCACAGGTACGTATGTCAGTGGGAAACAAACAAGATGAAGGAGGTGAGATGACACTTGAGACCCGACAATCTCTCAGGGTCTCCATGTCTCCACCTTCTCAACTCGTGGCTATATGTGAACCCATTTACGCCAAGTGGTACTATTTTGGGGCAACTGGGGCACTGGCGGGCTTTGTGTACGTGTGCAAAGGGAAAAGAAGATTGAGTTACAGTGAAGATCAATTCACACACTAGGTCCAACAGATTTGTAGCAATATCATCGACCAAGACTTGACAATGAAAAACATAATATTGCATTCATCTTTTGGTTTGCATTAAATGTGTTATTTCACTTAAAATTAAATTTAAGTGAAATAACATCATTAACAACATCTGTAATCTGTCTGGCAAATGAATACTTCAAGGAGGAGACTACGTTTTGTTCACATCATAGCGCCCTGCTGTTTAAGGACATATGTGAGCCCCTTATTGGGAACTATATGCGGGACTCATTTTTAAAGAGTTGCTTCTTTCATAGTAGAGACTTGTCTTGGAGATAACTACCTCAGATATGAAATGAAAAGATATTGCAAAGTACATTTAGTGGCTATGCATGTGAGCTGTTCCCAGTCATCATCACTATTCTCTGGTATTATGATGTTAATTTAACCGGACTCAAGTTACAAACTACCTCCCAGTTATCAGCCTTAATTCCTTGAAATATTCTGACAATGGGTCCACAGCCGGTTTTCTTTCCAATACCAACTCATACGGACCATTAACAGAGTGTTGATTTGTGGAGATGAACTTGTTAACCGAACTGTGGGAACAAACCTTCCACTTTGCCAAACAAAAACACCTCTTTCGTTTAGGACGCCGCCATTCATGTCTCAACGGAAATTAAGTAAGTAAATTAAGTTGTCTAGCACTGGCTAGTGGTCAAATTGGGTTATCAGCGCTTTTCCACTGAAAGCAGCTGCATCTAGATGTGTTTGATGCGAGGGATGAGAGTAAGCAAATTAGTTAGAGGTATAACCCAAATAATCAGTTAACAGATGTTACATTAAAATGCTTTGTGGTGCTGTGGGGAACAGCAAAGTATGGCTATAACAATAATACTCGGTATAGGTCCACTATTTACGGCGACTCCTTTCACACGGATTTGTGCATCGTTAAATAAAAATATGTGTCAGTGATTTCAATTTAAAATATGTGCTTTTCTTTAGAGGAAATACAATCTCTGCATATATATATATATAATATATATATATATATATTATATATATATATATATATATATATACGTGTGTGTATATATATATATATACACACACGTTTGATATCCAGCCTGAGCCTAGATTCCCTACAGCCTTAATAGATTGAAAGCCTTTATCTTTACTGCTAAGGAGGATTTTGGACATAATTGGAAACCTGTGTAAATACACAAGACAAGCATGCCTGCTAATGGCCCGCTGTTAAAACAAATACTGTTGCGCTGGCCTCTTGCCTGTGTAACAGACACCCCTTATTCACCGCCGGGTTGCATTCCCTGTCTGGCCTGGCGGGGGTTCACGTTTCGAAAGCTTGGCAGTGCAGCGGCATGTGAAAAATATCCCCCATGTTGGGACAGACGGCAGGAGGAAAGTACAACAATAGGGCATGCAAATATATCCAGATTTATGGCACCGCTAAAATACATCAGGCCCTGGTCAACAACAAATTACAGTGTGACCGATTATTTGATCAATATGTAGAATAATGGGTTTAATTATCTTGACAGTCATCTTAACTGATGTTGCTTCACTTGGAGAACCTGTGCTGTAATCTGTAATCTCCTTTGCACTGTCAAGAAATAAAATCTTAAATGAAATGAAACCGTTCTTTTGGTTTAGGTGTGTTCGGGTTCAATTGAGGTTACAATTCCATAGCTCACAAAACTAGGTTTTCCTGAAGACCTATTTGCTGTAAGTTTTTTTTTTGCACTCTCAATCCTTATTACTTCCGTTGTAACATAAGAGGAGATAAAGTGTCTCAAATGAATGCAACTTGAGTGAGTATCTTTTAAGTTTCAAAACAAATGAAATCTTGGGGAAGTAGTTAAAAAGAAGTGACCTTACCCGACCTTTTGTAGCCCTCTCCTCATCTCTGCTTGAGGCACAAGGCCACTGCTGCTATAACACACCTGATTCTTCTTTTGAAACTAAAAACAAAATGTTCTGGCATAAGGTGGTCAATGTTATTTCAGCGCAATGATAAATTCGTGGTGTGTTTTTATCACTATACAAGTTCCCGCTATACAAAGAAAAATCTGCCCACCTGGTTCACTGTTGAGTGCAGGTAACTAATATATATATATATATATATATATATATATATATATATATATATATATATATATAAATAATGGTTACACCAAGAACATAATGTGGAGTTCAGTGCTTTTGCCTCAAATGACAAACGCTAAATGTCGCCTTCAGTCCTGCAGAGATCCGACCTCCCGGTTCACATGAAGTGTAAGAGCGTGTTTGTCATTCACTGTGCCCAACAACGCAAGCGCTAATCCTGCTGCCGCTTTATGATCCACCAAGTGCGTCAAACTGTTTCCATTCCAAAACAGATCCTCTGGCTACCTTTCCTCTGAACTGTTACTCCACACATCCAGAACACCTCGGTCTGAAGCCAGATGCCCCCAGGCCTCCGTCTTGTGTGAGGAAGTCATCATATTCACATTTGCCTTTCAGTAATTCCAAAGCAGAAGTAGATGGATGGGATTCAATCATGAAGCATTGAAGATAAAATGGGGTCTGGGTGCTCTCATTGTGTAAACCCTACCCTGATCTGGTATCCATTCAACTTTAAGACAGCTTAGTTCCCAATGGAATCAAAAATTCACATCTTCCCTGCCAGTTGACACTTTTCTAGTTGATAGTCTTTTGCAAACGGTTTCTTAGAGTATATGTTCAACCTTTGAATAATGTCTTATTGAAATGTTTATTTTTCTTGTTAAATTCAAAATCTTCTCACATCAAATGTCTCGAAAGTTTAATGATTATTTAAACTGAAATGATTGTTCAGTTTTGTCATAGAATAATAGATTTAAAATAACTGTGTGTAATTACAGATTTCATGAACATCTTCAGACATTCAAAAACAGAACCTTTACAATTGGGACCTCTAGTGGTTCAGTAGATTATTTGTAGCAGCCTTCATAAAACCGCATGAACGCTGGTTTGTGGGAGAATCCCGTCACAGGTAATAAACGTTGTACAAATGTCTCCCGATGACATACAACAGATGGAGTCCTTTAGCCTGGAATTTTTGCTCTTTCAGATAAGTATTAATCTCATAATATTACAAGAACCCAATTAAGTACCATGACAATATAAAACCGTTTCACTCACATACATGTTCACAACAATGATTCTTGTCAAATTAATTTTCTATATCAATGACACTGAACTGTAGGTAACTTTCAATATAGCTGAGTAATTCTCTTTGAGATCTTCAAGAAAAAAGACCAGGATGCCCGAATCACCTGAACTTTCAGATTAGTAACCGTTCTAAACATGATGTTAGAAATGCTGATATTTTCTGTCTCTGCTGTAAGTTTTTCATCCTTCTTACATTTTTAATTTATATTTTGAAATTCATACTCAAATTGGCTTGCAAATATATTGTGTAGATATGTAGATTGATATTCAGAAATGGTTGGATAAAACCTTAGAACACACAGACACAAAATGGACGTGCAGGATTCCATGGTTGCTATGGTCCTTCCGATGATTCTATGGAATCCTCATTTGAACATAAACAACCACTCAAGCAGTCACAAAAAGTGTTTCCTCAAGTTCAGCTCAACGATTTCTTGCTAACAGCCTTTTCTACTGCGGATTTCTTCCTTCATTACAAGAACTAAAGAGTCACAGAGACTGACCAGAGCGACTAAAGTAACTTTCATCATGGAAAATGTGAGATTTGAACCCTTTGAATGTCAACAATGTTTTCTGTGTTTTACCGTTGAGACCTTCAGACCCCTAGAAGTGACGTGATAATCAGCTCTGCTATGAACACCCCCCCCCCCCCCCCACCTTTAATTAGACGACTGGGCTCAGCTGACAGCTGTACTGGACCTGCTTGATATTATATCTATTTAGTCAAAACCAAAGACCACACATGTCTTCAGCAAGTTTCTCCAGGAGGTTTAAATGCAGACAGTCTTTCTGTCTTTTCACTTGATCACATGTTCCTTAATTCATGTTATTAATAGTTAAGTGTCGGTCCGCTAACACTGAGGCACATACAACCTGTCCACACGGCGTACTTCTGTGAGGAACAGGTGTTTACAGCGGGCCTGCAGCTCAGGCCCCTACAAACTTCATCTGGTCTCTGTGAACTCTTTCGATGGTTGAATGTGCTGATAGAAGCTCTACGCGTGTGGAAATACACGTCATGTTTTAGGGGAAATATCAGTTGGTTTTCACAGTGAATTGAGAAATGAAACGTTCTGCTTTGACCGTACTTGTAAAGCTTCCTTCTAACACAAGTCTATGTTGTTGCAGTGTGACGTTCCCGTTCTCCTGACCGACAACCAGACAGGAAGGAGAACCTCTGCTCGCCAGGCAGAGAGCGCGTCGAGGCCCTCAGCCTGGAGACAGTGTTCATGCTGCAGGGACAAGCAGGTGAGACTTGTTCTTTCAAACTGTTCACAATGTAATCCTCAGGACCCGGAGTGAGTCAGTGTACAAACAAGCAAAGAGATTGCATATTAAAAATCCTTCAAAATGGACAGAATCTGTGAAGGCTCTCTGCAGTGCATGTGATGCAGAGGTTTCTCTGTGACAGTGTGTTGTTCAGTATGAAGTTCACTCACACCCTTTGATGTGTTGCTGACCAGGGGCCGACTCTAAAGAGAAAGCGCCGGCCCTCTGCTGCTCCCGGAGACCTTCACCAGAAGAGGAAGCGCACCTCCGGAGGCCGTCCCCTCCCTGACCATCCAGAGGTGTTGGACTGTGTCCCCGCTGTGCAGCCCTCCCCAGCTGGTGACCATTCAGGGTCTTTGGTGGAGAAGCCTAGAGCCACCATCCCACCTGCTGACCTGCCCCGAGTCTCCTGTGTGGCCCCCAGCCTCCAGCCCTCCACTGCTCCACTGCACGACGGGCCTCTGAAGATATTCAACCTCCCAGTGGAAGAATACCAGCAGCTGTACCACGAGGTTGTTGATGAAATGCTGAGGTGCGTTGTGTCAACAATCGCTCACATAATTAGCACATTCTTCCAATCACAACTAAATGTATCGCTCAATATTCCCTCACAGCAACATTTGAACCACATGTGACGTTGTGATTAAACTCGTTGTTTTTACCTCTCAGGTTCAAGAGCGGCCGTCTGCGTCCTTACACTCTGAGCCTGGGGCGCGTCATCAAGCAGAAGCTGTGGCAGAGACTGGACCGTCCCCTGTTCACCGAAACAGTCAACGGAGACGGACTGGTGCACGTGGATGTCTCCTACGGGGTTGGAGTCTTCCCTCCCCTCCACCAGGTGGACATTTTGGGGGAGCCAAAGCCAGGGACACCACAGAAGAGCTAAAAACTCCAAAACCCTCAATTAAGATCACATTGCTGATAAGCAAAAGTTGTGTGATTTTAAGTATCAAAAGCACCGTATTAAGATGGTTCGCACGGTGGTGCCCACCAGGAGAGAAACTCCCCTCCACCTCCAGCCCCCGTCGTTGTCCTGCAGATTCCAGCTGACATTAGCTTTCTGCTGCCTCCACCCTCTGCCAGCAGCTTTTACCACGCAACCGCTGCCCCACGATCCACCTGCTGATAGCTGGAGATGTATTTCCACCTACAAATTGTGGGGAACAAGTGTCTCTGGACAATTTGCATCAAAAACTCACATTGACTACAATTCAACAAGCTACACCACCTGCAACCTACCCTCCACCTAAAGAACCTCTGCCACAGTCCTGCTGTTGCTGCCTCCACCAGCAAGTTGTGGCAGCTGGAACCTTCAGCCTCCTCTAGCAATCTGCAGTTGCTGCCTCCAACTGCATGTTGCTGACAGCTGCTACCAAACCTCCACCCTCTGCCTGCATCTGCAGTTGCTGCCTCCAACTGCAGGTTGCCGGCAGGCAGCTGCAACCAAATCTTCACCTACGGCCTCTGCCAGTGACCTGTTGATGCCGCCTCAAACTGCAGGTTGCTGGCAGACAGCTTCAACCAAACCTCCACCTACGTCCTACGACCACAGTTGCACCACCACCAGCCTCCACCTAAAATCCTCTGCCAGCAACCTGCGGTTTTTGTCTCCAACTGCAGTCTGCTTGCAGACAACTGCAACTTAATTCCACCTTAACAGCCTCTGCCACAAACCTGCAGTTACACCCTCCACTTGCAGATTGTGGTTGAGGGGCTACAACCAAACCTCCACCGCCAGCTGTACCTAAACATCCACAGAGACTGACCAGAGCGACTAAAGTAACTTTCATCATGGAAAATGTGAGATTTGAACCCTTTGAATGTCAACAATGTTTTCTGTGAATGTCAACAACGTTTTCTGTGTTTTACCGTTTTCCCCTCCCTGACCATCCAGAGGTGTTGGACTGTGTTCCCGCTGTGCAGCCCTCCTCAGCTGGTGACCATTCAGGGTCTTTGGATTTGGTCCGGAAGCCTAGAGCCACCATCCCACCTGCTGACCTGCCCCGAGTCTCCTGTGTGGCCCCCAGCCCTCCACTGCTCCACTGCTCCACTGGCCTCTGAAGATATTTAACCTCCCAGTGGAAGAATACCAGCAGCTGTACCACGAGGTTGTTGATGAATTGACTACAATTTAACAAGCTCCACCACCTGCAACCTACCCTCCACCTAAAGAACCTCTGCCACAGTCCTGCTGTTGCTGCCTCCACCAGCAAGTTGTGGCAGCTGGATCTTTCAGCCTCCTCTAGCAATCTGCAGTTGCTGCCTCCAACTGCATGTTGCTGGCAGCTGCTGCCAAACCTCCACCTTACATAGGCTCAACCCCTAAACTGCTGTTACCACCTCCACCAGCAGATATTGGCAGACAGCTGGAAGCAAACCTTCACCTTGATCCTCTGCCAGTGACCTGCAGTTGTTGCCTCCAACTGAAGGTTGCTGGCAGCCAGCTGAAACCAAACCTCCACCTACATCCTCTGCCAGTGACCTGTTGATGCCGCTTCCACCTAAACATTCTGTAATAGAGCTGCCTACAAACCATCCACTCAGACGGTCCGTCAGATACTGCAAGTGCCGCTTCCACCTGCATATTCTGGCAAAAATCTGCTATTCAGTCGTCCACTTTCAGCCTCTGCAGCAACCTGCATTTGCCTCCTCCACTTGCAGATTGTGCTAAATAGCTGGAGACCAACCTCCATCTAAATAGCCTCTACCACAAACCTATTGCTGCCTCTACCATCAGATATTGGCAGACAGCTGCAACTCAGCCTCCACCCTCTGCCTGCATCTGCAGTTGCTGCCTCCAACTGCAGGTTGCCGGCAGGCAGCTGCAACCAAATCTTCACCTACGGCCTCTGCCAGTGACCTGTTGATGCCGCCTCAAACTGCAGGTTGCTGGCAGACAGCTTCAACCAAACCTCCACCTACGTCCTACGACCACAGTTGCACCACCTGCAGCCTCTGCCAGCCTCCACCTAAAATCCTCTGCCAGCAACCTGCGGTTTTTGCCTCCAACTGCAGTCTGCTTGCAGACAACTGCAACTTAATTCCACCTTAACAGCCTCTGCCACAAACCTGCAGTTACACCCTCCACTTGCAGATTGTGGTTGAGGGGCTACAACCAAACCTCCACCGCCAGCTGTACCTAAACATCCACAGAGACTGACCAGAGCGACTAAAGTAACTTTCATCATGGAAAATGTGAGATTTGAACCCTTTGAATGTCAACAATGTTTTCTGTGAATGTCAACAACGTTTTCTGTGTTTTACCGTTTTCCCCTCCCTGACCATCCAGAGGTGTTGGACTGTGTTCCCGCTGTGCAGCCCTCCTCAGCTGGTGACCATTCAGGGTCTTTGGATTTGGTCCGGAAGCCTAGAGCCACCATGTCAGCCTCTGTCACTGACCTGCTATTGCTGCCTCCAGCAGTAGCTGCCTCCATCATGGCCTACGCCAGTTACCTCTGTATGGCGCCTCCACCTGAACATACTGGTGAACTCTAACGCTCCCTGTCAAACCTCCACCTTCACGCATCCGCCGCAACCTGCAGTTACCGCCTCTAACTGTAGTATGCTGGAAGACATTCGCAACCGAACCGTCAACTACAGCCTCTGCCAGAATCTACATTTGCTGCCTCCACCTGCGGAGTCTGGCACCTGGCGTTCCTCCACCCACGACCTCTAAATTGTCTTACTCCTGAGAAACTTCCTCCACAACTCTCATTGAGTCAGAATTCAACGTGCTCCAGCGCCTGCATCCTTTGCGATGCTACACCTGAAGCCTCTCCCAGCTGCAACCGAACCTCCTCCTAAATAGCTTCTGCCAGCAACCCACAGTTGCATCATCCACCTGTAGATTGTGGTTAACAGCTTTAACCAAACCGCCATATACTTTATGAATTCGAACACTCCTTCAATTGGCATTGTTTTCATATTTTGAAATAATTTTGGTGATGCCTGGTGACTTGAGACATTTACTTTGTGGTTTTCTCCAGTTGTTTTTGGACTCCACACGTCCAGATGTACCAGGAGCTGATCGAGAGCCACCGGGACCATTCCTTCTACCACAAGAGTCGTGTTCCAGAGATGCTTATTCCTCCTCCACCTTCACTACACATTCCTGCTCCTCGTCTGGACCTTTGCATTATTGTTCAATAAATGAATTGTTTGCAGTCATCAGATGCGTCTTGTTTTGAGTCTACGGGAATTTGCATAAAACCAATACAATACCATTAGAGATGCCGTTGAGTTTGTGTTATTTTGAATTACATTTCTTTGCAATGGAGTAAGATTAAAATAAAGTATGACATTTTAAAAACAATATTTTTATTCTTTACTAAGTAAAAGACAGGTTTTTTTTCTAAGAGAAACGTGCAGGTATCTGTATTTACTTAAAGTTACGGTTTACACGACGTATGGATCAACAGCCTTTTAGGTTTTGTACCTTATCTATTATTATTTAAAAATTCAATGTATGTTCTTGTGAAGTTCATACACACGTCCTTCATTCACAGTGAACAGCTGTGAGGCGGTAGAGTAAGATGACAAGACAAAATAATTTAATGGAAAATAATAAATCAAATATGGCTTTGATTTTTACTCTTATTGACGGTGCCCTTAAATTTTTCAACCTCTTTAAGGCCTGTTCAGCCTGTGGAGAAAGACGTTCGAAAGGAACGCATTGACTACTTTTGTAATTGTCTTTGGGTCTCCTAGTCATTTTGAGTACATTTGTTTGGAGATCTCAGGGCGCCTCAGACTGGATGAGAAGAAAACCACACAAAGCCAAAGCCTCGACTTTGGTGTTGTATTCATTTGCTCTCGACCCTCTAAAGTGGAGCTATTGTAATTTCATTGTGTGGTTGCAGGTGTCATAAAATGGACACTGGCCAAAATGCTGCTAACGCCTTTTCACCAACAGGTACACTGAGTCATCTGGACTATAGAACGGATGTTTTTAATCAATCCACATTCCTGCTCATTCATGAGCTCTTATGTATAGCAAGTTGTAAAGTTTAGAGCGACAAATCGTACCAGCGTACTCTGTAAGTCAGAATGCGTATCAGGTTGGCAGGTCTGCTAATTGATAGAACGGTGAACCACTTTTCCCCTCACCTCAAAATCTACCTCCTCAAGAACGCTAGCGTTAGCTAATCATCTCCCACCGGAGCTTCAGCTAGCTGGCCAACGCCTCTATTCATCAGGCTGTAGCTAACGTTAGCTAAGTCTATGTCAACGAAGCTCCTGGGTAACTTAACTTAGACCCGAAAATATTACAATGATTGAAACCATCACTCACCCTGTTCGCAGTTCACTGAATATGAATAATCCCCCCGCAAAAAAACTCATCCAATCTACACGATTCACGTAGGTCACCTATTTTGGTTTCAAAACGGCGAGGGATCTTCATGCCTGTTAATGAAATTGTACTTTTTCTTTTCCGGGTTTGTATCCTTATAGATGAAATGCACTTATTCTAAGTCACTTTGGATGAAAGCGTCAGCTAAATGACTCGTAATGAACATGTGGTTTATTGACGGACTTGTTATTTTTGTACAGGCTTAAACTGAAATTCTGCATTTAAGTCATCTGTAAATCATGTTTGTCGTCAAGAGTTCTTAAAATCACCTGCGCACATTCCCATTTTGTTCCTTTTACCTTGGTGGAATTTCAACTGGACAGTTCATGTATTTTAAACATATAATATAATAAAAACACAACTGTTATGTTGAAAAGATTTATTTGAAAAAATAACCACAGAGTACTATTGATACAAAAAGTATAAAAAGTACAAAAAGCATCGTCCAAAAATCACATGAGATGACAATATCTGAGTGGGCACTAATTGGCACTGTGGATATGATTCAGAATATAAAAGCATGGCATCTTCTTGGAACGTGTTGAAGGCATTGAATTCACACTGAAATGTTTTCATGGTTTCAGATCATGTCTGCCACAGTGACCAGCGCCTCTCGTACCACAATACTCACCAGTACAAAAATAAAGAACAGCATCAAATACACGTTTTAACAAAAAACGATATCAAAGACGATATCAAGATTTACATGTTTTTCAAGCATTACCCAGGTTTTGTTCCTTTGGCCAGAGCCCCCCGCCCCTCCCACTCCCCACAAGTGTGTTCCAGTTACCATCAAAGCACCAGGCTTAGGGAATGTTGACCGGTGCCGTACCAACATTGTCAAAACAATTGAAAGTATAAAAAGATTTGTATATATATGGGGGAAAAAAAGAAAGAAAGAAAGAAAGAAAGAAAGTCTTCCTCAGCGCGGGTACCTTTCTTTCGTGAGTGGCATCGTGTCCATTGACCGTTATTTTGCATTTCACTCCCCTCACTAAAGTACACGACTACAGTCAAAACACAATGTTCTGTGCACAAATTGCCATAAAGCAATGGTTCCAGTTTAGGTCTAAGGCAAACTTGAGCTCCATTCACTGTGGACCTCCAACTGACGACAAACTCTTCAAAGAGGGGAAAAGAAGAAAAAAAAAAAACGACAAAAAGACAAGTAGCTCAAAAGTCTCATAGGAATAAGTACAACAAATAGCTGCCCTGAGGGAGAAGAACACTTTAACCGGAAACCGCCGATGCTGCACGCCGGTAGTTTAGAAGCACTTCAGACAGGCGTCTCAAGTATTGCTGGGTTCGAGACGACCGCTCTCCTCCTCTCTCGACTCGATGCTCGACCGCGGATGGTCGTAACACTGGAAGGCTTGGGCTGACTTCATCCACCTCAAGCATACGCAACGGCTCTCTCTCTCACACACACACACACACACACACACACACACACACACACGCGCGCTTTGATTCCCTTTTGTCCATCTCGTTGATCCCTGGTGTGAATTCAAGTCCACAGTGTCAGCTGGGCTCCTGGGAGCCTATGCGCGGAGGCCTGTGTGCAGAGAGGGCGCGATGAGGACGGATCTACAAAAAGGACTGAATGCAAATGACTTGTGCAAAGAGATCAAGAAGCCTCACCTTTCTCGCAGGTAGCACTCTGCTTCTCCTGGGCAAAGTTGAGTCGGTTCTGCTCCACCGCGGTGCCGTTGGACTCGGGGCTGCTGCTGCGCGACGGGCTGCTCTCCCCGTTCTGGTAGGCCAGGTCCAGATGCTGCTGGGCCAGCTTCAGGTGCCTGCGCAGCCTCTCCAGCTCCCGCGACGAAGCCTCGTCCCCCAGCGACTCGCGCCCCGAGTCCACCAGGTTGTCCCGGAAGGCCATCTTCCCCGACGGGTACTTCTTCAGCGCCGTGTGGTAGCCCGGCGGCGCCGACGGCTGCCGGCTGATGGAGGACCGCTGGCTGGGCGGGGCCGTGCGCCGGGGGGTCGGCGTCCGCGGCCTGCAACAGCAGTCCCGGATGCCGCTGATGCCGAGGTGCAGGATCTCCAGCAGGGTGAAGAGCAGACACAGGGCGCTCACGCCGTACATGATGCGCAGGAAGATGGTCTTCTCTGTGGGGCGCGACACGAAGCAGTCCACCGTGTGCGGGCAGGGCGAGCGCGTGCACACGTACGACGGCTCCACCGCCAGCCCGTAGAGGATGTACTGCCCAAAGAGGAACGAGGCCTCGAAGATGGCGCGCGACAGCAGCTGGAACACGTAGACCTTCATCAGGCCGTCGCGCTTGATGCGCCGCCGTCCGTCGTGCTTGTTGCTCGGCTTCTTCTCCGGCGCCTCCTTCTCCTTCTTCTCCGGCTCAATCTCCTCCAGGATCATGGGGTCCTCCTCGCCGTTGTCCTCCGCCTCCTCGTAGTCGCGGTTGGCGCCGCGGCTCACTATCGGCATCCGCTTGCGGGGCCGGTAGTCGCTGTCGTCCATGCGGGCGATCTTGTGCATGGCGAAGCCGAGGTACATGATGGTGGGGATGGTGATCATGATCACCTGGAACACCCAGAAGCGGATGTGCGACAGCGGCGCAAACGCGTCGTAGCACACGTTCTCGCAGCCGGGCTGCTGCGTGTTGCACGCGAACTTGCTCTGCTCATCGTAGTAGATGGACTCGCCCCCGACGGCCGTCAGCACGATGCGGAAGACGATGAGGAGGGTGAGCCAGATTTTGCCCACGAAGGTGGAGTGGTTGGAGATCTCGTCCAGCAGACGCGTGAGGAAGCTCCAGCTCATTTTGCCTCTGGCAGGGAAGCTCTCAGACCTGGAAGGGGAGGAATTAAACGATGATAAAACTTTACTGTAGGTGGGGGAAAGGAGAGCGTGTGAAAGCTACTGAAAACAAAATATATTTGGCATGAGAACAAATCAGTACACCCACAAGTGGCATGGAGGACGGCACACACAGTAAAACTGATCATGTTATGGGCGGGGCCAATTATAGAATCCTATTTGATCACATGATTGCCGATGACAAATTTTTGGTCATTTTGGATCTCGTCCAGCCCCCTGAATTATTCAACCGTGCTTACCTGAGAAACGGGACCTGGCTCGCATTGTGTGTGTGTCCTTAGGGGAAATGATGTTGCTTAGGGTACCGTTATGCTTATACTTTATGATGGTTATAAAATTGCAATTGACAAGTTGTCACTGGAGACAGATGTGGAGAAGCATTCAAATGGGTGAACACAGTCATTTGATGAATTGTCTGACAGCAAACAGCCACAAGGGGGAGCTGCTGTTTCACTGCCACAAAGCGGAGATGCCCCCAAGCCAACATCACTGCAGAAAGGGGCATGCTCAGGCAAACATCCCTGTTCTCAGACCAGAGTACCCTGGACCAGTAGGCATGGTGCTTGGGGCGCTATCACACGGGAGTGGTGGTGGAATAAACAAATCTTCAGAGCTCTGGTGTTCAGAGACCAAGGCACTGGAATTCAACTAAGTTAAGTGTCTCGTCATGGCAAGAGAACGGCGTAATGAGCCGATAGTAAAAAATCCAAACAAGAAAGAGGCAATGAGTTACTGTGGTTTGGTTTCACACCATCTGCGACCAACCTCATAAACAACTTCGGCTGAGTAACCACGGCCGTAAACTGCCAGGCACGTCAACAACGGACTGTTTGCGACGAGGTAGATTACAGCATTTCATCTGCAGGGCGGCGCACGTTGCCACACAACACCCAACTACCCGCCCTAAGGCCCGTTCACCACGTTCTTGCCTGCTGCTCCTCAACGGAACAGATGATTGAAGTACGAAAAGCACATATCTTGGAATCTGCATTGACGCTCCGGTGAAACTCTTCAGCGGGCCACGCTCAGATCACCACGAGATGACGCCGATATCAAGCGGCCAAAGGCGAAGCGCGCTTCTTGGCTGCCGCTGGCACGCAACACGACTCCAGGGTTATTGACAGTAGTAGTTTGTATTTGCCACTAGCGGTAACATATTGGACCTAAAAAGGCTCCTGGGGGGACGGGGACGGACACACTGCAATAATGCCAATCGTCAAACTAAATCTGAAACATTCTTTGGACTGTATTAATGAATAAGACCGGTTTGATCAACGACTGTTAATGATCGAGAAACAAAAAGGTGCAAGTGGATCGCAATTAACCAATAAGAATTCTGCAGGTTCAAGAACCCCTTTTCACCTCCATCCATAACCAAATGATCCACGTGCTCCACAGACAATGTGACACGAGGTCTGGCGTTAGTCAGGGAGGACACCATCCCTAGAAAAATAAAGATCTCTGATAAAAGCACAAGCTTCAGGTGAACTCCCTCTATGATCGTCACACTCTGGGGATTGATCATTGAGTCCGTGGCGATTTGGAGTAATGTGATGTGAGAAGTGGGGGTATGATGTCCGACTATCCTCCCCGGCAACGCTAACAGGAAGTGAAAGGGACAAAACATCTCGTGCATCGTTGTTTACTCCCTGCTTTTAAAGGACTTGTCCTACTTAGTGCTTACAACAAAGACCGCCGTTGTCCTCATGCTTCATTTGTGGCTTTCTGCAGCGCTGCCAGCGCGCCACACTGCGCCCCGCAGCTTCACCTGGAGGTATGAGGACTGTACAGGGTCGGGTTTCCACATCAAGACTTCAACTAACAAAAGCCTCCATTCAGTGGAGGCGTGCGGTTTTCCAAACACCAAGACGGCCTAGGAGGCCAACAAGGCCGCTCCTCGGTCCCACGGCAACAGGCGGCAGACAAGGTCAACGGCACACTTGGCTGCGGGTAATCTAGGTTAACGGGCGCGAGTCGCCCGAGCCCCTCTCAGAGCCGGCATCCATGCACGAGGAGAACCGCAGTGTGTGTCGGGTTTGCTTTAAAATGTGTGAAGGAAACGATCGCACTCGGAAGCTGTAAAAGCTCTTAAGGTGCTGCATTTGTCGCGGTTTCCATGATCTTATCCCGTTTAGATTTCAAGGCTCTCGGGCCTGGTGTGTTTGTGCTGCTCCTTCATCTCCTTGCTCCTGGTAGCAGCCTGTATTACCTTCAAACATTCATGGAAGAACGGTCTTTAAGGACAATGGCAATATTGGTATAAACCGTTAAATCACTGCCATACTTTGACGAGGAGCCTTATACGTAAGACACTTTCAGGCCAATACGTTTGCAATGACTTAAACATCCCTCCAACACAATGAGCTACAACACAAAATGCATTACAAACCTAAAAAACTGAGATTGCTTCTCTGATGTTCCATTGAACACGTCTCTAGTCCCTGCGTGGCCCCTGTGGACGCCGAGTAGCTCTGCGTTTTGGGGCCCTCACATCTGTGAGACTAGTTGTAGAGACCCTCCCCCCTCTATTAGCCCCATTACCTCCCGGGGCTTAGCGAGGCAGGGAAGAAGGAAAGGACCTGAATGGGACACGACTGGTTAAGAAAATGAATCCATAGCGGCTCACCGGTGTTGAGTCAGAAATGACGCGGGAGGCCTACGTCACGCTCTTATATCATATTCGGATTATTTAAGTCACTCAAAATGATCAAATGTATCTCATAAAAACTCAAATTGGCCACGGGCTTCACGTGGGGGAGGGGGGGGGGGTCCGCGTGGCTAACGGGACAACGTCCCCGCGCGACTAGACACGCGCGCGCGCGCCGCCTTGAATCGGTGGATGCGTCGCGACGCGCAGGCACCGACACGCAGCGCTTTAAGCCGAAAATGCCCCTATTCTCCACAATGTCTGACTGTGGAGACGGGGGGGGTAGGTGGGGTGGGGGGGGTCGTTGGAGAGATTCACGCGCGTTGCTCCATCACCAAACCCCGTCGGCATAACCCGGTGTATAAATACGAATTATCGTCCCCGTTCTCTGCATAGCAGCAAGCACGATGCTGCGCAAGTATAGCGTAACTTGCTCAGAAGTGTCCCCCGGTGAGGGGGGTCCGGGCGGGTCCACGCAGCCCGCGCGCACGAGTTGCATTCACGCGAGTGCTGAAACAATGCGTTGGGTTGGTGAATACGGCTTATTTGGGGGGGGGAAACGATATTCGTGCTGTCGACTTAATAAAAACGCTTAAAAAGGGACGTCGTCTTTTCCTCCGGCGCCAAAGTCAAAGACGTAAGTTCGGCCGGAGCACCTTTTGTTAGCCAAAGCTAAAGCGCTGCGTGCGTTTGTGCGCGTTATCTTACCTTCAGTCGTGATTTCGGGTCCCCGGCGTCAACGCGGCGGCCGCTCGAAGTTCTCGCCTATTTAAATATCTTCTCCTCCGCTTTCTCTTAATCAAAACCAAAACCTCCCGCTTTGATATCAGGGCATCCAGGTTTTTTTTTCTGTCGTTCCGTTCCTTCCCGCGAGGAGCCCGAGTCCTTCTCCAGTTGCGTGCAGTGCTGCGGGGTGAGGAGACAAAGAATAATCCCAACCTCCCCCCCCCCCGTCCCCCGCCCCGCGTCGTTCCTCCTCCCAGTTTCAGGCGGCACCCCACCCCCTCGTCTGCGCAGAGAACCACCGACCACCAGCATTCCTCATGTGATCCTCGCTTCGTCTTCTCTGCTCGAACTAAACCCTGGACTCGGAGACCGAGAACAACCTCATGCACGAAAAACATGAATAAAACAACAACAAAAAACATCAAATAAAGCCACACATTTAGTATTGGGAATACAAGTGAATGTGCTTATTGCTCTGACCAAAGTGTCATAAAAGTCCCTTTTTAAAGGGGTTTCAAGTTATAAGATGACAAATGCGCGTTAAGATACAACGAGTGCTGCCAGTCAAGTTGTTTTATCGGCACCCAGCCTTTGGCATGTGGAACAACGTGCCGCCAACCGATGAGCTGCCAGGTGGCCCCTCTTCCTGTTGATGCAGATGTTCAGAAGTAGTTGCTACCTGGAGGCCCCTTCCTCCATGTCGCACTTACTTTGGCGGAGGGCCCGTGCACTTCCTCGGACCCCCCACCCGTAGCACCTCTTTGAAACTACCGCCTGCACTTAGCAATGCTCATTATTAGGGGGCGAAAGAGCTTTGATGCTACGTTAAGTCAGGATTTATGTCCCTCACAAGGACTTGGAAGGGGTCCCGACCAGCAGTGTCGTGAATCACACTGGGAACGCTCCGGTTTCTTAACTCAGCCCTACGCGGGCCTGCCGTCTGCAGTATGCTGTTAGCCTCACATTCAATCACAGCTCAGAGTTCTTTGAGAAGTTCAGTGTCAAGTCTGCTCACACCGCATTTTCCCCACTCAACTGAATTATGTGCAGTTCCCCAGATGAAATACTGCAGGCATCCAGTCGGCATCAGTGTCCTGAGGTAGTCGCTCAATGCACTGAAGGATCGCGTTGTCCCGCCCCGATCTCCTGAAACGCCACTCACCGTCGCTTACCGGCTGAAGTGATGAAGACTGTGGGGGGGGAGCGCAGGCAAAACAGATGAGCAGCAGCGGCCAGTGCGAGCCCCCCGCCAGCAGCGAGATGTTGTTTTTAATATCTGCTGTAAACAGGGAGTCAGTGGAGGAATGCGGGGCCCTTCCCCCCTTCTCAGGGAGCAGCGGAGCTCTATTGTGAACCACAAGCATGCCTTTATTCATGGGATGTAATGCGGGGTGCCGCGGTGAACCACAGTCCCGATGACAGGGACCGACCATCTGGAGACAAACCGGCCCGGCCTCGTGGGACCATCAGACCGCCGTCTTAAATTAGCCACGGCTTTGATGCTTACACCCATTGTTTGCTTTACGTTTTGTCTATTAATGCATTTGATGTTGACCTGAGAATCCAGATGTGAGGATCAACTTCAGCATGTTGTCGAGTGTGTGTTTATGCAGGAAAAGGCTGTTCTTACTGGAAATGCGGCGTCATAGCGCCTTGAGCGTGGAGTCATTTTAATTTCCTGTATTTTGAGGCAGGCTGCGTGGACTCACGGGGCGGGCCACGCCACACGGTGTCATTTTCAGGGCAGGGTTAGCTTGTGGACGGCAGCGGTGCGTGAGGTCACTCTCAATGACCAACACGCACCGGCGCGGTTGGATGTGACATTCGATGTAAAGCCGCCGTAGACCTCGCTGTTCGGAAACGCGTTTGCTTTTCTCCGTATCTCATCCAAGCTGTCAAAGAAAATTTCAACACTACTTTAGAGGCTTTTGGAAAGAGCTCCTTGTCGACGTTTTGTAAGGAAAATTGACGATTGCGTAAATGCTGACATACGACCTACTCGACGTGTTCCAGTGGCCTGTGATTACCCAATAGAGGACATTTAAATAATCCAACTCTTACTGTTGTGCAAATGTTGCGGAACTGTGTGAGCCTCAAAAATAGCACTTTGGGATGTATTGACATTGGCGTGTGTGGTCTAACCTCTGCTTGATTGTTTTTGACTGCTTTTACTCAAAAACCTTCTTTCGTCCTTTGTACCACAAAAAGAAATTCTGTCACGGCTGTTATTTAGACAACCGCTGCTCACTGACGCCCTCCCCTCTGCGGCAACAGGCCTGTTGACATGATGTCGCAATATTTCCTACAATTTGAAATGTCTTTCTGAGTGGCCCGGCTGGCTTCACAACCTGACCCACCGTGAATCACTCCCTTTTTGTGTTTGCTTTCCTGCTTAGACGCACGCACACACACACGCACACTTTTGATGGAGGAGTCAGCTTACATCTGTTGTTGTGCTTGAATGCTTGTGCAAGTTTGAGGAAAGCAATAATGTCCCTCCTAAGACTGTTGACGTCAGCTCATTTGCCAATTGAATAAACTGAAATGCTTTAGAGGGCAAGGACATTGGGAGGGGAACAAGATCACATTGTGTTTCCTCATCTTGCTGATGCAGGAGACACACACACACACACACACACACACCGAGGAGGGGTTCCTTTCCCTCCGCATTTACACCATCTTCTCAGAGTAGATGACCCGCACAGGCACACCGAGGGCCAGCGAAGGGCTACTTTAGCATCTTTGCATTGGCAGAAATGCCTGCTGGAAGCTCCGGCTTTTAATCTTTTAACTTCTTATTCTTCCGCATTCTGGAGGCAGCCGCCCTGCCAACACAGCAACGCAAAGTGCAAGAGCACGCAACTCATTTCATTAGATGGCATTAGCACAATTTTGTGCTGGCAAACATCCAAGATGACTTCTCAACAAAACAAAAAAAAGACCAGCTGTGTCTTCTTTGCGGGCCAGAGAGGAATTCCTTTTTCTTGCCGCTCGCAGTTGTGAAACCGTTTATTGTTCATTTGTCCACTTCTTGACGCTGTTTTTTATTCTTCTTGAATTATCTGAACTTGGGTCACGAATCTACTCGCACCTGTCAGGCTTCTTACAATGTTTCATTGTGTAAATATATAAGTTGAGCAGTAAACCCAGCCCGCGTTGTTACATCTTAATTCTCAGTACAACGGGGAAGTTGAGGTCCCTGCCAAAGGAGACTAATGCTTTCCATCTGTGTGCTTTTTTAAGAGTCTGTGTATCCCACATAGCGCCCTAAAAGGTTCCGCCTCAGATCAGAATGACTTGGTTTAACTTAAACCCTCAATATTATGAATCCAAAAGCATTGGACGAGTTATGGACATCGTCAACAAGGCCCAAGTGTTCAGCGCTCTGTCTTCTGAGGTGCTGTATATCACGCCCACAGACCCCTCTCTCTCTCTCTCTCTCTTTATATATATATATATATATATATATATATATATATATATAATTGCTGCGGTGGCAAATGCGGTTTTAGGCTGGAAAAAAAGCCCCCATTTGGGAAGTCAGTGTTTTGCACATGATCGCAGCAGAAAGTATGACGTTTGTTCACTTCATAATGCAGAAGTGTGTTGTATACTATCGTAATTTAGAATGTAATTTATAGGTATTATATTGTTTTTATTAAAACAAGATGAATAGGCTTTCAACACGTTTCAGTTAGTGGTTAAAATCTTTCCCAACTTTTTGAAGGTCTATCTGGTTTACTGCTCCTCTCGTCTCATTTACTGCCTGCTCTTCCTGCCCCGTGGAGGGGGACAGGGGGACTACGCATTGGGTAAAAGGGGGTGGGTGGCCAATTTCCAACCTCCACCTCGTTTTCATGGGGGAGGGGGACCAATGTCTACAGTTCTCCCGAGTCTTTCCTGTGCTGTAATTCCCAAAATTCTCTAATCTATGATTCTATCGGACACTGTGACCGACAGTGGAAAAGCAGTACCTTAAAATCCCGTCATGAATCCCGTAGTCAGCACCCCTCCGTGTACGTAGTGCATGTGCGCGGGACACACAAAAGAAGCCTCAGTGCTTATGTGGGGAGGAGGGGTACGGCGTTTCCATGGAAACAGACGTCCCGACCCCCGTAACAGATGGTAGCGGTGAGAGAATCGGGGGCTGGGTTAGTGATGGCGGGACCCAGAGATGATTATCTGTCCTGGAACAACAGCTTCTCCTTGATTAAACAGGTGGCTTAGGTTTACGTCACTTGTGTGTTAATTCAAGGGGCGAGCTTTGTTCTGTGGTTTACAGGAAAACAGAAGCTCGGATCTAATGGAAAGCATTTGAGCGAGAACTCGTCTGCTGGCATTTCGAAGGAGCGGCAGCTTGATTAGGGCCATTGATTTAATCTTAATTTGAGTTCCACACGCACATTCGCTGGGAGCAGTTTTAGGTTTCTAGTCTAAATGTGTCCCGTTTACTTGTAGTGCACATTTTTAACTGAGCTTCCAGAAAAACAGAAGAAGTGAATGATATGAGCAAGGGGATAAACCATTGATGTTTCCTCAGACGGCGTTCACTATCTGCATTTGGGGGATAGTTGTGGAAGATATTCACCAAACTTGTCACGCATATCAGCTCCATCTACATTTTGCAATGTTATTTAACATGGAACACGGCCAAGTTTTTTTTTGTCTTCCAACTTGAATCTGCATTCAACAACGCGGCTGATTCCCTTGAATGAAGCCGCGCGGCGTCGTTCGGCTAAAGAGCCCAATCGTCTGCAGATCATCTCAGTGGATTACTTTGTAACGAGAACGTCGTATTTCCACAGTTTTCCTCTTGCAACAAAACAAAACAAAATTGCAACCATGTTGATTTTAGCCCCTGTCTCAGGATGTTGTTAACTGCCATTGAGTGTTGCCTCGTGATAAGCTTAAACGGCAACGCTGCCCTTGCATCACGAACAACTCTGTCTCAGCCAGCGCTATGAGGGCCATTATCAGCTCAGCTTAGCGAGGAGATGGTTAGGAGATGGTTAGCATTGCCGCCAAAGCCAATGGGTTTGCTCTCCAACTCCCCACCCTGCTGCAGTAGGAAGTAAATGACTTGACTTTTCAAGTCAAGTCAGCCATAAAGCTTTGTCCGCTTAATGCGCACTTTAAATGTTACTCAGGAAGCTGAAGGGTGAAGGGCCGCTATCTTAACCCGACCCTTTAGGTCCAGCTTCTCCCTGGAC